AAATAAATAAATAAATAATAAATAAATCACAAAAACTTAAACCACACAGAAGCAAAGATGGGATTGAAAACAACAGTCTCCCTCCATAGCTGGTTTGCTTGTGTGTTGGTCTGTAGCTCCAGCTAGATTCCAACTCTGATCTTCCTTCCTCTGCCTGCCAACTGCTATTGTTACAGGAATGAGGGTTGACAAGATGGTCCAGTGGGTAAAAGCGCTTGCCACATAAGCCTAATGATCTTGAGTTTGATCTCCTGAACCCATAGTGGAAGGAGAGAATTGACTCCTGAAAGTTGTATTCTGACCTCCACATGCGCACACACACACACACACACACACACACACACACACACACTAATAATAATGATGATGATGAATAATGAATAATAATAACAAGAATAAAAGTATTAAAAAGTCATCTCTGATAAAAGCGACCCTAAGAAGTTAGCACAGTGTTTACTGCACCTGTTGGGAGAGTCCCCTAGGGTCTTTTAAGGAGTGTCACCACAGATGCTGAGACTGCCTTCCTTCAGTTGTAGAGGCACATGGAGCCCATTATGCTCTACCTGGCAAAATAGCCTTGTGCCTCCATCAAAGACCAGGCCCCTGATGCCATGTGTACCAAGAGATCTATGCTTATTCAGGGACCCAGGACTGTTCTTGAAATGGCTAAAGCTAGACTGTGCCACGTCCCAGTTCTAGGACTTGGGGCCATATTAGCCAGTTCCATATTCATTCAAAATGGGACCAGTGATAGTACCTACGACTTACTTAGGGTCCTTTTGGAAATGAACCAACCAATCCACAAGAAACCCAGGTCTGGCACTAAGGACTCTGCTATATGGTAGCAGTTGGTTGCTGTTATTATTATTGCTATAATTATTGAGACAGCATCTGTCTATGCAGCCTAGACTGGTCTGGAATCCACAATCCTCCTGCCTCAGCTTCCTTAGCACTGGGGGACAGTTGGTTATTGTTTTTAGCTACTTAGATGGGAGAGGCCACTCAGCCCATCAGTCTATGTGTCTCTGTTCCTGGAAGAAGCCCCAAATTCTCCCAAGCTTCTGAGCAACTTGGCCACTTTGCCCTGAATGCCATATGCCAGCCTGTGGAACGTGAGCTGCCTTCCTGACCACCTGTCTGGCACACATCTGGGTAAGAAAACATCCTAAAGCCCGAGTTCTCTCTTTGGAATTGACTAAGCTCGTTGCCCGAAGGCTAGCTCTCATATTTTCTCTTTAATCCATTATTGACTTACAATTTCATTGCTAACCCTAAAAATTCACTAGAGCTTGCAAAACAAAAAGGGGGAGAGGATTTTTCAGGACCATTATCCTTTCGTGAGCTTCAAACAGATTACATCAACCCTTCTTTTCACCTGCAAATGTTCGACTTAATTCCCCCCCAACTCATACTTTCTATGGGCCGCTCATAATTTCCACCACTTTTCTGTATACCAGTGGGATCTCTCAGCCCCAGATGTCCACCAAATAATCATATGATCAGCATGCTTAATAGCCATTTGTAACTGCAGTCACCACATGTGCCCACATAGTAATTTGGAAAGAAAATCCTATCCAACGCAAGTCACTTAGCAGTGCAATATGGGGCTAAGTGAGGTGTCTGAGCCTGGTTTACTGAAAGAAGGGAGGCAAAGCTCTTATCTTCAGAACATGCTAATGAGCAAGGCTGTGATTTTTAAAATTCCACTCCTTCTGAAACACAAAGGTGCTTAACAAAATTCAAGAGGTTTACAATTGTTACTTCTCAGCTCTTACCCTCTGCCCTTTCTTTCCCACCCTTTCCCCATCAAAGGGAATATGCTCTGATTTCTATAGAGGAGTGGTACTCAGTCTGGACAATGTCAGTGAAAAGAGCTAGCATTAGGCAGGGAATTTGGCTCACCAGCTTGCCTAGCAGACACACTAAAGGCCTTGGGTTCAGTCCTCAGCACCACAAAGAAAAAAACCAAGGAGCTAACATTCATTTGTGACCTTGTGTCATCATGACCTTCACTAGATTAGCAATTGGTTGTCTGATGACAGCACCAAGACTTGGGGAGGTTATGTTTCTGACCACATCCTCCACATCTATTCTGTGGCAAAGCTGAGACTCTGTCCCTGGCTTCCAGGCCCAACACTCAAGCCTTAGCTCGCTACTAGCATGGGACCCCCAGGAGGCTATATTTCAGTGTAAGGCCCTCTTCCTCTGGTCCCCAGAGATCCAGCTGACACTTGGACCATAAGGAAGCATAGATGGGCCAGCATCTCCACTACTGGGCTCATCCTAGAGGCCTTGAAACCTTCTCAAAGTACTTACCCCCAGGCTCATGCTCACCCTCTCCGCCCATCCTCAATGGTCATGGGAAAAGGAAGGAAAGGGGCTAACCATAGACCTTCTCCCCTAATCAAATGGAGCCAAGTAAATCCTTCACTGGGATCATTCAAGCTTCTAGAATCTCCCTGGGAGGTCAAAGCCCAGGAGACCATTTTGCTAGTGTCAACCTCAGATGGCTAGAGCATCAGGGGTGTGTGTGCTAGTGCTGGTAGCCAAGTCTGTTTTCCTAAGGACAGAGTGTGTAGCTTCCCATGATGCCCCAAAGATCCCTTGAGATATATGCCAGATTTCACCCACACCACAGAGCATTTTTGTGCCCCATTCTCCTTTGTTGGAATGAATTTGTGGAGGCTATGTTCCAAGAGACTCATGTCACCCACATGTCACCATGGAATTGACTGCTGAGAAGTCTAGGCTGCTGCCTGCATGAGCTCTTCTAGTCAGGACACATTCGACTTGGCAATACCAGCCTTTCCTAATTCAAGATTTGCCTTGCTCCCAAGCCAGCTGGTTTGGTCTTGTTAATATAGAAATTGGAAGTGACCACTTACCCCGATGGCTGACTTTCCCACCAGGGCAATTAACAGCAGAACATGGAGATCTGCCATCCTGGCAAACATCCTTGCAGTGAAAGGCCTCTCGGTTTGGTTTGCTCTCAGTACAAGTTCTTTTCTTGTTTCTGCCTTTAAGGGAAGAAATACCAGTCTCTGTGGATTCCGGAACAAATGAAGAGGATGCAAATTATTAACTAGGCATCAAATACTGTTTAATGTTTAATGTTTTGCAAACCAACTATCTTGATTAAACAAATGGTAACTTGGGGGTTGGGCAGAGTCAAGGGGTGCTTTGTCTCCAGCAGAAGAAAGTCTCCGAAGATAGTGGCTGAGATAACTCCATGGCTTGTGGTTGCACATGGGAGCTACTGAGTGTTCGATGCCAAGGGCCTGGCTGTGTACCTGGCATCTCAGCCACGGGATAAAATCACCTGCCACAAGCCTCTACTACTGCTGATTTGGGGAGAATGTTGATAGGTTTCTGATTCTGCAAACCTCAAATAGAATTAAGGCACAGATGAATCCCTAATAACATCACACTTTATTTTTATGAAAGATAAATTAAAGGATGTCAAACTACTATTGATAAACATTGATTCTGGGCCCTTTGAAGGATTGCCCACAGTTGCTTGTTGGCTTCAAAAGTTTTCTTTTAAACCTCATTACATGAGGTTTTTACTTTTAAATTATTTTTGCCCCTTTCCTTGGAGTCTTTCTTTAATTAAAAGGAAGGAAGAAAAAAGATGGTGCTCATATTTGGGGACAGTTATTTCCAGTGTTCTTTGTTTAGCTACATTGGTTACAGTGGAACTATAGAAAGCAGCAAGTACCTGGAAAGTGTGGGTTCTTGTGAACTCAATTGATCTCAATATATGCAATTCTGAGTTTCCATAAATGCCTGTCTCCCACAGTAATCTCTGCGTGGGCTCCAGGAATCCCCGGGTCCGAGTCCTCAGTGTAGGCTTGGAACTATGCCAACTGAGCCACCCCCTCCTCAGCTGTCATCCCATGGGGCACATGTGCTCAGATTGCTCAGCCAACACCGGCTCCCACTCGTGGAAGCTGTGGAGGATCCCAAAGGCCTTCTCTTGGAGAAGGCTGAAGCCAAAACCCACTACCACATGGGTTTTGTCTTCATAACACTTCACAAAGCCATCATGATATACTTGGATTGCTATCTCATCAATATTTGTTCCTTCTTCGCCCCATTAGACTAATTTCTCATGAGGCCAGGCATTCTGTTTGATCACCGTCGAACTCCCAGTATAGATGCCTGGGCACCTGACAGGCACACGATAGATTTATGTTGGATGAAATGAATAAGTGAACGATCTCTTTATTGAAGAGACAGTTGGGCATTTCACATTAAGACATCTTTAACAGTAGAGGCAGCTCCACGGGACAAGAAAAACCGGTTGTTTAAAAGCATTTATAGAATGTTGAACACACTTCCACTTGATCATGAACACCAAATTAATATTCTTTGAATATTCATGAGGGCCTACTGTGGACCAGGCATGGCTGATCCAGGGATGAAGGAAGTGGGCATGAATTTCACTTTTTGTGTTTGTATCTGTATGTCTTTGTGTGGTGTGAACATTCTCATGCACCTGTGGAGGCCAGAGGTCAATGTTGGATGTCTTCCTCTATCATTCACCTTATTTTCTGAGACTGAGTCTTTCGTTGAACCCGAAGCCCATCATGGTGGCTAGACTGGCCAGTGAGCCCCAGGGATCTTCTCTCTCCACCTCTCAATGCTGAGATGACAGGTGTATACTACCATGCCTGGCTTTTTATGTGGGTGCTAGGGATCTAAACTAGGGTCTTCATACTTGTACAGAAAGTACTTTATGGAGCCATCTTTCTAGTCCAAGAACTTCGCTCTCAAGGAGCTCCTGTTCTGGCTGATATTGAAAGGTAAACTAGTTAATTTTAGTTAGTGGTTAGTATTAAGGAAAAAGAAGCAAGTGACAGGATAGAAATCCTATAGGTGGGAAGTCTGAATAGACAGGGGAGTGACTGGTGGTTCAGTGGGTCACTGGGGTGCCTGAACATGATGCTGGTGGTTATCTGGTCTCAGAGCAAGGTTAGAGGTCACTCACAGGAGATATCTCTAGCTTTTCCAGATTCAAGACTGGAGTCTTTACTGTATTTACATAGACAGTAAAAGGTAAAAGCAGAAATCATTAGGCAAGCCAGCTGCTCTATGACTCGTGGAACTCAGGCGGCCTGTTTTCCCTCCACTGTCTCATGTGCTAGTGAACTTCTCACTTAGGGGAGAGAGTCCTAGAAAACAAACCAGAAACTTCCCTTCCTGGGTCAACAGGAAGTGACCCAGACAGATTTGTTGTTCATCTTTGTCACCAGGATTAATTTCCTTGTCATGTAATCTTCCCTTTCTTTTAAGAAAGAAAAAAAAATAGACAGTCCTGTACTTTTTGTAATAATTACAGGCCTCCAGCACAATATCTCTTACTCCCCCAAAGTTTTGGTATCAAGATAATGTGAATTGAATAAACTTCAACACTTTATCTTAAAGGAGAGAATTCTCTAGAAGATACTTAATCCATTCAATTTAATAAGACAAAGGGAGCTGTTTTATCATGTACTCTATCCTTATCTGAGGAGTTGGAGCAAAGCCACCTGGGATCTCTGGTTTTCAGATTCAAACAGAAAGCCTTTGGTACTCATCTGGTGAGAGTTTCAGGTGTCCCTCAGTAGTCTATACCTCTGGGTATTCTGGGTGCCACGTTTTCACGTGTTGGGTTACTCTGAACAGGGCTCTGTCCTGTGCGGTAAGCCTAGGGAAGCTAGTTTCTGGTGAGCTGATCCTTCCACCCCCAGGAAAGGATTCCCAGACCCATCCTTTGAGGTGCTGCGCTAGGCCTGTTGTTAACAAAAGACCATGTTGGGCTGAATGGACATGACTCATGTTTGCCCATCATCTTCAAAGCCAGTCTTCTTCCTGCTAAGCCTTCTGCATGCTGAGACAGCAGCCTGGACTCAGAATAGACATGGAGTTGAGTTCCCTCTTGGGCACGCCCACCACGTGACTTTGGGCCAATCATTTACCATCTCTGAGCTTCAGTGTGCTCATCTGTAAAATGAGATAGCATAGGTCCTATTTCATAATATTAATGAGAAGGCAGAGACAAGGTAAGGTGCTCAGTGTAAGCACTGGCAGACAGCAGAACTCTGCAGAACACGGTGACACCAAAGAAGACTTTCTGGGGGATGGTCATTTCTGGGGAAGGACCCTTATCTTATTTGGGAGCAAGGTCAGCAAACTTTTCTGAGTAGTCCAAAGAGCATAATTATGAATCAAAGGGAGTGAGTCTCTGTATGTGGATGCTGTCCCTGGCTATGAACTAGCCCATGGAAGGAATGTAACCATTGGTAGTTCTCCAGGAGCACTTCTCAGGGAGGAACTCAGCTAAGAGTCCTGGGCACCCAGTCCTTGGCAGCTAAAAAGGACAGGGGGCCTCACTGGTGAAGGGGGATCTGGGATACCTCACAGCATCCTCTCCAACTAGGGCTAGACATTGATTCTGCATCCCTTAGGACAAATGCTTACTCAGGAAGCCCAAATGCTCAATTCAGTTTTGAATAAACATCCCTAGTTTCTCTGTATGGTCTAATCAGAGATGGCTGAAGTCAGAAGCATGGTCAGGCAGATCTATGGGCAGACAACAGATGTTGTTGGATTAATCAATACTCAAGGGAAAATCAGAATGCTATTGTGGGAACACTTGTTTGACTAAGCTACAGTCATGGGTAAGCTCCTGTGAACTTCCAAAGGGAAAGGAGAAATCATTTGTCATGATTTACATCATAAGTTAATCAATTTTCTAAGAAAAAATTTTCCCTCTTCATGAGAAGTTCCTGATCAATTTTGATCTTTAAGAAAACTTATGAGCTGATGAGCACAGACCTGAGTTGAGTAAATGGGATGGGGAACCCAATTACACAGTAAAAACCCTGAATTCCTAGTGGTGCTTCAGTACGGCAGGAGGAACTATGCGGCACTGTGGGATTGAGTCAAGAGTCTGAATGGACCCTTGATAGCAATCCTCTTCTTCTCAGGGACAAGTTTTGAATTTCTAATACATAGCAGGCATTCAGACAATGGAGGCTGGAAAGAGTGAATCACCTCTTCCAAGCTCGTGCCGTCTTAGAAAACACTAGTGTGTGTACACATAGCTTTTCAAGTTGCAAACTGGGAAATTATTGTTGGTTTTTTCCTTTCCTCTCCCTTTCCAAACCCAAGTCACAGGTAACACCTGTGAAGGTTCTGCTCTGCTAACCCACCCTTGTTCAAGCGAACACCACCTCCTGTTAGAGTCCTTCTGCAGCCCTCTCATTGCTTAGTCTGTTTTCATGTCTGCTTCTGTTGAATTCATTTTCCAGCCTATAAAAACCATTCAGATTGTTCGTAGCCCTCCATAAAACCCCTTAATATCTTCCCTTTAAACTTCGAATAAACCCACATTCTCCCAAGGTCTTATTTGATCTGGCTTCTGTCTACTTCACCAGCCTTAATTTTGTGCCCTGTCACTTAATGTGCTGTTTTCTGTATGGTCACACTCACTGCTGTCTCCTCATCCCCTCACTCAAGAGTTACTATGAAGTAAGCAGCAATAAACATTTGATGAATGAATTCATAGACAGATGACGAATGATGACTAAACAGATGGATTACAGAGGGATGGATGAATAGACGGATGGAGGGATAGAAGATTAAATAGAGAGATGGATGTATACAGTGATGGATGAGTGGATGGGCAGATAGATGGGAAAATGGATATGTGGAGGGATAAATGGATAGGTAATTATGTGGATGTATATAGAGATGGATAAGTAGATGAACAGATGAATAGAGGGATAGATGATCAGATGCACAGATGAAGGAACAGTGGGCAGCCATGTTTGATCACAAGGCAGAAGTCCCTCTGACCCAGGTTCATAGCCAAGCTATGGGCTGGAAACTTTGAGGTGCTCCCCTTTGCCACATGAACTCTAGCTTGAAGTCACTGGTAGTTCTGACTCCAGTGTACCATGAGCTTTGGAAAGATATGGGAACCACTCTTTACTAGCGTAGCCCGGTGGTGGCACTCCAGTGCAGCCCAGATGAATCTGAAATACACACTTTAGG